TATATATATATATATATATATATATATACTGTATATATGTGTGTGTGTGTGTGTGTGACAAGGAAAATGTTTGAGATTTGAGAGTTGCAGTGGAGAAGATCTTCAATATAATATATAATAATATAATAATTTTTACATATACATAAAGCTAACAAATGGCTTTTGGGGTTAATTGGACTACTTTTATGTTGATTTTTGCCATGGGCACTACTGAACCTTTCAACTGAACCCATCAAAATATCTTCTTGTATGCTACTGTACATGGAAGAAAGTAAGGCATACAGATTTTAAATGACATGACGGTGAGTAAATTAGAATTTTCATTTGGTGAACTATCCCTTTAACAGTTTTATCATTAAAACTTCACAGCTCTCATTAAGTCCCACAGACATGATTTTGTCAACTTCTCACTTTCTAGAAAACACAAGGAAACGACACACACCAGCCCCATTGTCGCAACACTAATGCCTTCCTGTAATGCTGTTTTCAAGAATGTAATCACATATTTACGATTGGAGGAATCAAATGTAACCATTTTTTTTTTAAATGACCAAAAAAACCCTTATCAGCTGAGCACCGATCTGAATATTGGAGAAGACGCATCCTTCTCAACGTCTACTGGGGTTAAGGCTCTCGCCAGATCTGACTTCCTTTAGATTCCATCACGCTCGGTTCAGTGAAATTTGGACGCCATCATTGTGTTTTGGATGCTGCTTTGTTGTCCCAGTAACCTTGTATCTGAGTTGTAATGAGACTGTGATGTAAAGTCATCACTTGGCAGTGCCACATGGGCCATTGGTGAACATTTATCACTCTCTGGCCTGCTCTGTCCAATCCTGCACCGGCCCAGATTGTGCCTAAAGATAGCAGGAGTGTCCGGAACCCCAGAGATCGGCTCTCTCTCGCCCTATCTATCCTCTTCACACACTCCCACAGACACACACACAGTGAGAGGTAGATAGGCCAGGCTGGCAGCCAGTATGTGGTGGAAGAGAACAGTCCAGAGAGCTGGACCGAACCATCATCTGGCCAGAGCCAAGCAGCCACAGCTACAGTCACCAGCGCACATGTGTGCATGTGCGAATGTTTATTTATGCATGTGCGAGACACGTTTTCTCAAATGCCTCCATATCCATGCTCTCTCAGAATGGCAGACGTGGCACCAAAATTAGCCGCCAACTGTAACACACGAGAACAAGATGAAACTCAAAGAAGATTTGCTTGCGAAATCACCCAGTTGCTTTTAAGTGCCGCTTAGATGTTTTACAGTTTATTGCAGTTAGGAGAGCTGCACTTCTATTTTGGTTATCTTTTTACAGTTCTGACTTTCAGTGACTGAAGCTTTCCTGTAAATGTACTTGGTTCGCAGAGCTTTGCTGCTTTGGGTCTTTTTGCAGAGTTCACAGAAAGCCTGCATTTAAATTCACCAGGTCTTGCGAATGGAATCATGAGATGTTTGAAGTGAAAAACCCTTAAATGTTGAAAACTGAGAGCACACTCCATTCAATTTATGTTGAATGTAAATTTCATTAGTAGACGTTTGCACTTGTTTCTTTGGCAGATACTGTATATGTTTACTGGATTGAAGCAAAATTTAGAGAAGTGTATAACAGTTATGGGTCCAACATTGACACGTAATTGTCTGTAAGAAAGGTATTTTCATTTAAGATGGAGGTACTGTGAAAGTTCAGGCCTATCTGGCATCTAGAGAGTCAACAAGGTGTTTTTATATTAGTTCTTGTGATACAAAAGCAACGTGGTCCTTTTTCGTTTGGTCTCTAAAGAACACTTGAACTAAATGCATTGAATCGTAAAGCTTCTGGGAAAAAGAAAGCTCAATCTCTTTAAGGAAGTGACTCACCTGTTCACAAAGGAACTGCTCAAATATGTCAATATCTTTCAATATGTGGCTTTCTCAGTTGACCTTAGGGCTTATCTGTAATCATAGAGGATTTCATGAAAGAATTACACTTTTAACAATGGATTGAATTCAGGACATGAGTTTATCTGTGGCTAAACTGGCTCGATAGAGGCAGGATGCTTTATCAATACATTTTATGTTTTGTCTTTCATAATTCATGGTCTCGCTGCTATAATAGAATTCCATCAATATGCAATTGAAAGGTTGTCAGGTCTGTGATAATCCTTTACTTAACCTATCAACAGTCCAGCATCATAGACATGAGTTTGTGTGCATTATTCATACAAGACAAAAAAGCAATGCAGAAAATAAAAAGGAAAATGTCGACTTGAAAATCAAAGCTCAGCTCTTACGGGACTCATAATTTATTGCAGTGGAAAAGCAAAACTTAATAGCTAATCTAATATCCATGGAAATCACCCCTCATACTCTCTGGCCTGACTGTGTTGCGTCACTGAATCTGAAAGGTCAACACAACCTGCATACACTGAATTAGTTTAATACAATATCAAGAAAATGAACAAGCCAGAGTCAGCCATTGAAGAATTGGAGTTTGTTTATATGAGAGTGTCAACTTGAAGTTAATTTTGAAATGTTCATAGTATCATACATATTGCTAAAACTTCATCAAACAAGAAGGAATGTTTTACCACAATGCAAATCCATTGCTACTACTCACCGGTGTTTGTGTTGTTGGTTTCCCTCCAAAATGATGTCACTTCCTGTAAGAAGATGTCACAAAGGAACTGGAAAGAACACAATGGAAAGTGATAACATTTTTTAAATGAAATGTTTCAATAAGAGAAAGGGAAAAACGTGCAACAAACATGTGGAGTATATACTATATATATATATATATATATATATAATTGTTATATTGTGATAAAATAAACTAATACACTAAAACCATTCTTATTAATAAATATATTCAATATATTTGATGGGAAAATGCTAATGTAGGCATACTATACAGTATGATGTACATATGTTTACTAACTGCCGTTATTCTTGAGTCACAGTTCTTGAGTTTGAGGAATGTTGAGGAATGATAGATTGGCCCAGGTTGTCAGCCAGCCAAAAATACCTTATTTACTCCTGTATCTCCCTTTTTTCCTTTTAATCTTTCCATCCCTTGATATGTCAGTGGAAGAAAAAGCTGATAATAATTTCCAAGAAACTGACTGGCTCTCACACACACACACACACACACACACACACACACACACACACACACACACACACCTGGAACCTCGACAAGAGTGTGGTCCCACTTTAGCTCAGTGTATGAGATGAGAGATGAGCGCATTCGTCTCGTGTTCGCCTCTAGATGGTGCTGTTCACCGCAACTCAACTAGGCACGCGCCGCTTTCCTGATGGTGTCCATCTCTCTTCAGACATCCAGTCTAATGAACCTTGAATAAAATAGATCAGATTTTAGATCGGGGCATATAGTTTTTATTAAACGTATTTAAACCTTATTACCCTTTCTAACAGAAAAAAAAAATAAAATTGCTACGTAATTACACAGCTGAATTTCACAATTGAATACCTTTTAATCGAGACGTATCTTCATATACTTTATAAACAGAATTTTGCTGTCAAAATCACATAGTCACTCAGTGACAGAGCATTAGCTATGGGAAGCATTTTGGTGATTATATTTTACAGTTTCAAACAGTTTGTGCCAACGTATGTTTACTGTTTGTTAATATACCAACCTACTCGAGCCTATAAAATCTGTTTAATGCTGTAAAATGTAACGTTACTGATGACACAAGTGGTACAATTAACTGCCACATGATGGTTTAAGTTAATTAAAACTAACTTTGTTGATACAATTCAAATATGTTTCCGTATTAAAGATCAGGCTATACACGATTAAACGGTGAAGCTAACATTCCTACCTACCTGACACAAGCATAGCTTTAAGTAGCCTATACACTTCTCATTTGCATCAGTCCAGCAGACTTGATCTGTTTTGAAACGCTTATTGGATGCCGCACTCTTTAATACTCCAAATAACTGTCGGTCACAAGTGACAACACATTTTCAGTTTGTGTTTGGGTTATTTGACACCAAAATGCTGTAAACAAATACATGAAATGATCTTATGCGTTAATGAGGTGAAATGGAACCGTACATCGACCCTCCTCATCCCGCAGCTCGCAGAGTCTTTCTGAGGCATTTCGCTCAGTCTCAGCAGCGCGCGTGAGTGACGTTAATTCTAACCAATCACATTATTCCCCCTCCCCTCACTGCGACGTTAATGAAGAGACGGACCAATCAGCAGCCGAGGGGGCGTTCCCCTGTGGGCATACTCAGAGTTAGTGCGAGAAATTCAGTCTGGGGAGGAGGAGAGAGCGAGGATAAGCATCCCAACACATCCCACCGTTTGGACTTTTTCTCATTCAGGTGTGCGCGGCGAATCACGCGCAAGACACCGGGACAGAAGCCGTGGATTTTCTTTCTGAATGAGGACTGAGAGGGGAATGATCCGATCGCATTTGATCTTTACTCTTTTTCGCTGATGGGATAGTTTATGTTGATATTTGAGCAGAACAGGTGCTATTCATAAGGGCTTCTCCGGTAATGCGGATTGACTGTACGGGACCGTTAACGCACGCGTGGATCACCTGATTCATCACCGACCACCGCATTCCGCGCATCCCCGACCGCACGCTGATCTCTGGGGGAAAGTTCATAAAGATTGTCTGATTGATTGCTGTTAAATCAACATTTCCCCCCAAAACCAGCTGTGCTTTGAATTTTATTTTTTTTTCCACGACTAAAATACTAAAGTATTCACTGACCTAGTCCTCAAAGCAGTGATCAATACGGATATCCTAATATTATACTTAAGTCAGATCATTTTTCTGACTGGTCGAACGGATTTGTCACTATGTGCGCGAATTGGTAACCTCCGTATGAGCGAGCTCACAGAGAACCGAGGTAAGAACGCATGCATACACCCAAACGGGTTTGCATGCAGCATTTATGTACTGTCTTGTTTAAAACACTGTCACTTCTCGTGCATATGCTATTTAATCGCAATAAAATAGTAATGACATTAAATCCCAAATGCATGATGTGTAACTTTGAAGGAGATGACATTAGAGACATTTTATGTGAAATGTCTTGAAAGATGATGCTGAGTGCTTGACTGGCTGCATTATTTTATCTAGAGCCTCTCTGTGTATGCACAGGGAAATGATTACAGTGAAAAGCAGGCTGTAGTGGTGGTTAGAATGCATTTGAGAATTCTAACTAGAATGCATTGCCACCTTTATTAAGCATTACTATAAATCAGACTATAAACACTTATTGCTTGATTTTTAATTACGTTGATTTGGATGGACCATTTGTTGGTTCGTTGTCTTGAGTGTTGAGTATTATGGAATTCATTGTAACATATTATAATGTTGTGTGTTGTAGGGTCGTGTTTGGCTGCACTTTATCTACAAATGTAAGGCTCTGTGAAACCTTGGCTCTGACAACACCATATGGAGACAACTGTTTGAATTAAAGCAGTGGGAACACGCGTTAACTGCTGTCATGGATTTAAGGGATTTTTTCTTGTTGGCAACATTAGTTGCTTGTTTCTGGTTAGATCCCACCATAGCCCAAGAGCTAATTTACCCTATTCGAGAAGAGCTACAGGAGAATGTTCTTATTGGAAACATACCAAAGGACTTGAACATCTCCCATATGAACTCCGGGGTTACCAGTAATCTGGTTTACCGACTTGTGTCGAAAGCAGGTGACACCCCGCTACTTAGAGTGATGAGCAATACAGGAGAAATCTTTACCACCTCCAACCGTATCGACAGGGAGAAACTCTGTCCCGGCCCCTCTTTTGAAGACAGCGAGTGCTCGTTTGAAATTGAGGTGGTCATTTTGCCCAATGACTACTTCAGATTAATCAAAATTAAAATCATTGTCAAAGACACCAACGACAATGCCCCCATGTTTCCCTCGCCTGTGATCAACATTTCAATTCCGGAAAACACACTCATCAACAGCCGCTTTGCCATTCCCTCTGCCACCGATCCAGATACCGGACCCAACAGCGTACACAAATATTCTGAACCAGACTGCCCTGGTTAGAGTACGGCTGGAGGATGAGAATGACAATCCACCAATTTTCACCCAGCCTGTCATTGAGCTGGCTCTCATGGAGAACAACCAACGTGACATGTTCCTGACAACCATCAGCGCCACAGATGAGGACAGCGGACGGAATGCAGAGATTGTCTACCAGCTTGGACCCAACGCATCATTCTTTGATCTTGACCGCAAAACAGGAGTGCTAACCGCATCCAGGGTGTTTGATAGGGAGGAACAAGAGCGATTCCTCTTTACGGTCACCGCTAGGGACAATGGCACCAGAGCTCTGCAGAGTCAAGCTGCAGTCATAGTGACCATACTGGACGAGAACGACAATACCCCTAAATTTACACACAACCACTTTCAGTTCTTTGTGTCAGAGAACCTGCCTAAATATAGTACAGTTGGAGTAATCACAGTCACAGATGCAGATGCTGGTGAGAACGCTGTGGTGAGACTCTCGATCCTTAACGATAATGAGAACTTCATCCTTGACCCAGATTCTGGAGTCATAAAGTCCAACGTTTCCTTTGACCGAGAGCAACAAAGCTCCTACACCTTTGACGTCAGAGCTGTGGACAACGGAAGCCCCCCATGTTCATCAGCTGCCAAGGTGACCATCAATGTCATTGATGTCAACGATAACCCCCCCATCGTCATCTACCCGCCATCAAACACCTCTTTCAAGCTAGTGCCACTGTCTGCGATTCCAGGATCGGTTGTGGCCGAGGTGTTTGCAGTGGATGGCGATACGGGTATGAATGCAGAACTCAAGTATACTATTGTGAGTGGTAACGGAAGAAGTCTTTTCAGAATTGACCCTGTAACGGGAAACATCACGTTAGAGGAGAAACCCACAGTTGCAGACACTGGCCTTCATAGGCTAGTGGTCAACATCAGTGACCTCGGCTATCCAAAGTCCCTGCACACTCTTGTCCTTGTTTTCCTGTACGTAAATGACACGGTTGGAAATTCCTCATACATACATGACCTCATCCGTCGGACAATGGAAACGCCACTGGATAGGAACATCGGCGAGAGCAGTGAGACTTATCAGAATGTTGACAACCTCAAAACCATAATTGCCATCGTGACAGGCGCTATGGTAGTGATCGTGGTCATCTTCATAACAGTTCTGGTGCGCTGCCGACACGCCTCACAGTTCAAGGCGGCCCAGAGAAAGAAGCAGGGTGCCGAGTGGATGTCCCCCAACCAGGAGAACAAGCAAAACAAGAAGAAGAAGCGCAAAAAGAGGAAGTCGCCAAAGAGCTCCCTCTTGAACTTTGTAACCATCGAGGAGAACAAACCCGACGACTCTGCCCACGAACCCATAAACGGAACCATCAGTCTCCCAGCTGAGCTCGAGGAGCCCGGGATTGGACGCTTTGATTGGAATGCCACCCCCACTACCACCTTCAAACCCAGCAGCCCAGACTTGGCCCGGCACTACAAGTCCGCTTCACCCCAGTCGGCCTTCCACCTCAAAGCTGACACTCCGGTGTCTGTGAAAAAGCATCATGTGATACAGGAGCTGCCACTGGACAATACCTTTGTTGGGGGCTGTGACACGCTTTCCAAACGTTCCTCCACCAGCTCCGATCACTTCAGTGCCTCAGAATGCAGTTCACAAGGAGGCTTCAAGTCAAAGGGGGCACCTTTGCACACCAGACAGGTAAAAGAACACTTTTACTGGTCTATAAGTACTGCTTATAACTGCCCTGCTCAGTACTGAAGTGCCTGTGGTAGCTAACTTGCTCTGAGTGATACATCTGTGATGCACTATGTAGAATGTAGAATTCAAAAAGCCCCCCGTAGATGTTCTCCTATAATGACCAAAAAAGTCGTAAATATTCTGTGTTTTATATGAAACTAGCAGACCCAGGCGAATTACTATTGTCATCATCTTACCACATGCATTTCTGTGTTTTTCTTTTTTAATTTATAAACCTCTACTTGAAACAAGTGCTGGATAAGCAGTTGGTTTAAAGGGTGAGATTCGAAACGAATCCAACTTCTCTTATGAATCCCACAAGGATAGATTCAGTTTAATTTCACTGCTCTGTTATGGTTCAAAGATGCAATGTTCTGAGAGTTTGTGAAAGAAACATTTTTTTCTCGCCTGTCTACTTCGATCACCATTTTCTCATTTCGACATCCAAACTCTTTTGTGGAAGAAATTAATTTGACTCTAGGCATTATCAAACAAATCATCACTTGTATGAGTAACCACACAAATTCAATCTTGTTCTTATTTTTTTGCATTTGTTAATTAGCATTCTCTATGATACCAGTTTCTTAATTAATCTTGGACTGCAGTTAATCTACTAATAGAGAAAATGTGTGCACACAACATTAAACATTATCTCCTGGTTCATTAAATCCAATGGTATCCAAATACTAAACCAATAAACTGTCTCAGATATTTAGTATAGAACAGAATTCCCTTTCGGTAGCTGTGCATATTTCTCAAAGACAATTCTACTGTATGAAGCGAAATCACAAAAGCGAGTTGCCAAGCACAGCATCTCGTAGTATGAAACCCAGATGATGAGAGAGAGTTGAGGGAGGGAGGGAGGAAGGGGAATATTACCTTTAGGTGGCACTGTTGTTCTGTATGGCATATTCTGGCTATGGGCCAACATGCAGTGTGTGTGTGTGTCTGTAATGCATGGGGAAGAAGTGGGGGGCAGTTACTCGTTCTCTCTCTGTCGCTCTCTCTCATTTACTCTCTCTCTCTATATCTCACTCACTTTTTGTCTCTCTCTGTCTCCTTGCCTTTCCCTTGCCCTTTTGTCTTCGTGTGTGTTTGTGTGCGTGTGCTTTTGTGTGTATGGAAGCATCTCTCTCAGTAAACAGCTCATATCTAATGATGGACTGAATACACAACAGATTGGTAATGGCTGTTAGAGATTTATAAGATAAGGTCTGACCATTGGAGAACAAACACATAAACACTTGTTTACTTAGCTATCTAAATAAGGACTTCTGTTTTAATTCTGTTGTAATTATGATACTAATTATTACTACAGACTAACTGTTTTTTTTTTTTAGTTGTTTATTCATGGATGCTTTTTCCCCAATTGAATATATATAATTGTGTGCTTTTATTTAGTTGTGTTTATTTAAAATCAAAATACAAATATTTTTTTACCTTATTTATGAGTTATGAATTATTTTTTAGTTCACTTACATTTTTTTTTTCAACTTCTGGGGACAATTACCGCCCAAATTATAGCAAAGTAGACCAACACACTCACAAACATAAATGTTTAGATACTATATTTAAATATATATGTATTTAAACTATATTTGGATACTGTCTCTAACTGAGGTCCAACTATATGCTTTTATTTTTTTTTTATATGTTAGGGTCAATTATACTGTAATTACTGCAGACTAAGCCTGTCGCCATAGAAGAAAACATTAGCATTTTTAAAATAAAAATAATCATTGTTTTCTTTGTATGAATTGCTTTTCCAATTAAGGACACCCAATGAAAAGTTTTGTCAGATTTAGTTCACTTCAGGGGATAATTTTGCATGAGTGTGATGAAGCATTTCAAAAGGTTTTTCAATGAGATTTTGGATATGCAAAGCAATTCATTGCATTCTCTTTCCTTCTTCCTGTCTAAGGTTTGCATTGTAGGGAGAAAGAAAGGAGTACACCAATGTAGAACGACAGATTACATAATGAACTGCAATCCAGGCCAAGAGAGCGGCCTCTGCAGCTACTGTCCTATTGGGAACCATGCTGTCGTGCTGTACATGCCTTAACGAATGACTCAGTGACCCAAAACAATAGCCGCCACTGTAAGCGAAGAGACAGATGCCTGTCAACGCTGTAGATGGATTGTACGACACTGTGAAATGTGGTGTTCGCTCAGTCCAGAGGGGTCTGTGTTTGAACAGGGGTTGCCCTTTGTGTCTCAGTTTCGATCCTTTAAAGGCCATTGACTGTGCGTTTCCTCTCTAAAGCTCATAGATACTGGGGCAGCCTCCATGCAGAGCTAGTTAGCACAGCTAGAGGCACATCAGTGGAAAGCTTATTATGGCACCCAAAACCTCTTCTGACAGCCATAGGGTAATTAACACTTGGCCTTTCTGTTCACCAACTGAACTGAAGCAGTGCAAAACAACAATCAGCACATGCAAACTTGCCTGATAGTCAAGGGTGCAGCAAACATTACCATTTTCAGTCTGCTTCTCCGCAGTGCAATGAAAAAAAATGTAGGTGGCTGTGTAAAACTACAGCTTTAAAGGGATAGCTCACCCCAAAATTAAATTCTGTCATCATTTACTCACCCTCATGTCATTCCTTTATGCATTTATTCTTCTGTGGAACACAAAAGGAGAAAAGTCTACAGGGTCCAGTGTCTTTTTTTGCATCCCAACATTTTTCAAAACGTTGTCTTTTATGCACCACAGAAGAAAGGACGTCATACAGGTTTGGAATGACATGGGGCTGAGTAAATGAGGACAGAAGTTTCATTTTGGGGAGAGCTGGCCCTTGTAAGCAGAAGCGTTGGTTGCATGAGCGATTCATTGTGTGTTAATGCATTTATCCAAAGCAAGCTTACATTGCATTCTACGCTTACAATTCTTCAGTTCATGCATTCACTTGAAATTAAACTCATGACCTTGCTAGTGCCATGCTCTACTCTTTAAACCATAGAAACTTATCAAGTCACATAATTACTAGTCATGAGGCAAAATTATTTATAAGTGCAATAATATGTCCTCTCGACTTTCCAATTGTTTCGACGCTGCATCTGATAATAAAATATATTGTAACATTTCCACCGTGCATCCAGGAATCAATGTGTATCATTCCTTGCCCATTTCTCTGTCACTTAACTATGCTTTTGAGAGGGAAATTCAATATACAACAGATACAAATCACTCACCTTCCAAAGAAGGTGGAAGCATTCATTCTCGTTGATGAACAGCCTTTATTGCAAAATAATCAGAGTAGGCCATTTATTTCTCATTTGTAGTTTTTTTATTGCATGGGGCAAACACACACGCACACATCACGGTTCAATAGCTTCTCAGGATGGAGGCACATTAAAAAGTCTATTACGAAGTGCATGAAACATTTAGGTTATTGATTAAGCGTGCATGCATAGTGTGCAAGACTCCGCTCTGTGGGAAAACTCCTCAACAAGCCTGATTAATAAACTCAGTTGGAGAAATTAAACTGGGAAGTGACTGCTCATAGCAAACAGAACTCATGCAAGCATTTAGAAGAGCATTTGCGCTTCATGCTGGAGAGTCTCTGCTCATACTCATACCTGCTCAGATTTCACATCAAGAATTTCACTTATATCATGTCTATCAGATTCAGATTTATTATCAGATCTTTGTCCATGAATATAGATTCTTATAGAGAGCCTCATTCATATGTATCCGAGCCCTGAGAGGAGCCTAACAGCTCTACCGGTGAGTGCTAGCAATAATGACTTGCAATTATTCCGAAGTGATGCGGTTATTCCGTTTGGATTAGGAAGCAATCAGACCCAAGAGATTCCGCTGGACTGTTTTTAGAGACCAAATGATTGTCTCTCATGCACTATTTTCTCTGTTGCCGAGCTTTCCTCTAATCTGGCAAAGCAGAGCGCAGTCAGGTCTTTCCCACTGCCACATAATAGAAGGAATCTGTACGCATCGCCTTTCCTGAGAGTCTCAATGAGCTAAGAAAAAACCAAAATGAAACAAAAGTGTCTGGTTGCTGACTTGAATTGCAACATTGAATCTTAAGAGATTACACATGCATCAGGCTCGCGCTCCGCCATATGTGAGCTAGACAAAGGGCTTACTAAGTTACTAGCGAGGGCACAGAGTGAACAATATGTGGAATGAAGAGATGTGTGTGTGTGTGTACAAGCCTCTCTCGAGTGGCTTTATGCTTCAATGAATGGACATCCTAATGCAAACAGTAGAGACTCGGGACGGTACGTGGGAAGGCGGTAATAGACTCTGCATTGTGATGGTGAAGGGCCAGGAGGGAGTAGTTCTTTCTCCACAGGTTCATTTGCCACATTAATAAGGGATTAGCATGGACGGGGCTCCCAGGATCAGGGCCTGAAGTTTGAGAAGATTAATGGACTGTGACATTATTGCACCTGAGGGGGATGTCTGTTGCGATATCTGGTGCGTTGAGCTGATGGAGGGGCTCCGTTGGGCCAGAGAAAGAGATTTAGTCGGGGTTCAACACTTGCGGCTGCTCGCTGCCTCTTATTGTCTTGCATAAAGAGTCTCTGCAATTCATTATTACGCATTGTTGGGCTCCTCTTTGACTGGTTTACGGGAGCCTAGATTAAATATTATGTAAATTGCGTTGGACTGGTGCAGTGTTCTGTTATTAAATAAACGTTTTGTCATCATTTACTCACCCTTGTGTCACTCCAAACCTGTATACCTTTTTGTAGAACACAATAGAATATACTTTGAAAAATGCTTCAGCATTTTTTAGTCCACACAATGAAAGTCAGTGGGATCCAGAGTTCTTTTGGACCCAAGTGACTTTCATTTCATGAAAAATAAAAGAAAGAAAATCATGCAGGTTAAGTGAGTAAATGATGACAGAATGTTCATTTTGGGGTGAAGTATCCCTTTTAAAACCAATTGTGGATGAAAAAGATGAACAAGAGATGCATTTTCTCATTTTTCCGCC